AGCCTATCCAATATTTGTTATTTTCTGTTTTCTTGATTTGTGCCAGTAATGTTGGGGTGAGATGGTATCTCATTGTGGTTTTGATTTGCATTTCTCTAATGGCTAGTGATCATGAACATTTTCTCATGTGTCTGTTAGCCGCTTAAACGTCTTCTTTGGTGAAGTGTCTGTTCATATCCTTTGCCCATTTTTTAATTGGATTATTTGTCTTTTTGTTGTAGAGGTGTTGGATTTTCCTGTAGATTTTAGAGATTAGAACTTTGTCAGATTTGTGATAGCCAGAAATTTTTTCCCAGTCTGTAGTTTCTCTTTTTACTCTTTTGGTGAAGTCTTTTGATGAGCTTAAGTGTTTAATTTTTAGAGTTTGTGTATTGTTAGTTATGGTTTATATCCTGTTAATGCTGTGTATTAGGGCCTCTAGCACTGATCTTATTTTGTCTTCTATAGTCTTTATAGTTTTTGGTTTTATATTTAGGTCTTTGATCCATTTTGAATTAGTTTTTGTGTATGGCGTGAGGTATGGGTTGTATCATTTTTTTTGCAGATGGACATTATACCTCGAATTTTTAATATAGTAGCCTTTATGGGGGACTACAGGTTGTTCATAACCCGGGGACTGCCTATATTTAAAATACTAAAGTCAGGACAGCGTCACCATGTTACTTCTGGAGGAGTGACAAACAGGTTGTCAGACTTGTTCTTCTGTTCTCCAGAGATGTTGTTGAGACCCACCTGCATCCTGCCATGGGCTCAGATTCTTGCTGATTTTTGAGTCAAGGGAGTAAGAGTCCCCCTCAAGGGAGTTATGTAAATTCCCAGTGTTACCCAAAGCAGGTCCTGCTCCATAAGGCTTCGCCTCTGTAAAGACACACTGAGGTGATGAGGGAGAAAGAGCATTTATTGTAAGGAGCAAGGAGGTGTATACCTCAAATCAAGCTCCCTGAACGAAGGGAGGCAGAACCTTTTAGCCGTCTCTCACAAAGAAGTACATACAAACATTATGGACTACATAGGTTATCGTGGCACACAGGCGCAGTCAGACAAATTGCATTTTTGATTTGGCATGTGGGCTAGAAAACTCGGTTTGACTGGCTCGAGCCACACCCAGCACTTTGAGGACAATGGACAGGAGGGGCAGGTAAGAAGCTCCTGGCCGCTTTGGCTATCACCAATACCTTCTGAAAGGTAGGTTCTGAGGGCTGTGTGAAAGTTGGAAGGAGAGAATGGAGACTAAGGGGTTGACTGTAGTTAATTTTTGTGGGAAGTGGGTGGGATCCATCGATGTTGGCAGGTTTTCAGACTGAGAGGAAGAGGTGGACATGCTTGCCTGCCAGTAGGAGATGGTGAACAGGAAGGGCTATGGGACCCAGATATGAGGGCACCCTAATCTTACTTGGTTAGCAAATGTCATATTTAGACACTTCATTTCACAGGAGAGACATAAGAAAGTGACCAGAATATTCTGACAAAGCTCAGAAACGAATTTGCTGTCAAGACAGTAGCATTACCACAATAACGCAGTTTGGAGCCACCTGCCGCAGTAGCCAATCCTGAGACAGGGGTGAGGTGAGCAGCAAGAGGTTTATTATATATCGACATATAGGAGACAGAGGGGGAATAGATTCCTCCAAAAAACCCATCTCCCTGACTGGAGATCGGCTGAAGGCTTTTATAGGGAAGGATTATGGGTCTTAGAAGTTTGTGTTAGTTCCCCCTTGAGGTGGTCATGTCTCAGATGAGTTAATCTTTTACTGGTATTCTTGGGGGTTATCTGGCGACATCCTGGTTTTCTTGTCACAAGATGTGTGCTTTGTTCGATTTTTCATCCTCAGATCATTATCGCTTGTTTTCCACCCTCCAAGGAGGAACATCGGTTAATCTTAAACCTTTTGTAGACGCTGGAACCCGAGGGAAAGACAAGCTCATGAGACAATGTGGCGGTCAGCAACGGGGAGGAAATAATAGTGAGCCGGGCCTAGGCAGCCTCTTCCAGTAGCTTGTGTAAAAAAATAAAACCCGTTGTTGCTGAGTCGATGCCGACCCATAGCGACCCTATAGGACAGAGTAGAACTGCTGTATAGGATTTCCAGGGAGCGGCTGGTGGATTCAAACTGCTGACCTTTTGGTTAGCAGCTGAGCTATTAACCACTGTGTCAGCCGGGCTCCAGCTTATGTATACTTATTAGGAAGTTTCTAATAAGCTCATACAGCTTTTTTGTTTTCTGCTTCTTAACGTTTGTTCATGTATGTGTTTTGTATATTGGCAATCATAACTTTATATTTTCTTGCCACTGTTCACTTAAATACTCTATGACTCTGGGGCTTTTGTATGCTTTCCAGTTTTTTATGTGTATCTTTAACTAATTTATTAATTTTTTTCCCCAATTGTTTCCTTAGGACAGTAGTTCTCAAGCTTTATTGTGCACCAGAATCACCAGGAAAAAAATAAAAAATCACCAGAAGGGCTTGTTAAAACATACGCTGCTGGCCCCATCCACTAGAGTGCTAGAGTTTCTGACTCGATAGTTCTGGGATGGAGCCCTAGAAATTGGATTTCTGACAACTTTCATTGCCTTTGAGTGTAAGAAAATGAGATTGCCACGGAAAGGTAGGTTTATTGCATGACTGTCAGATTTCACCCTGGAGTGGAATAGTCTCCGATGCGGCCGTGTGGTTATGTACGTCTTTCTCCACTGCTCTGTTAGCATCAAGTGTTGGCAGGTTTTGTTTGTTTGTTTGCTAGTTATTAGGTATGTAGTCAGTCCTGACATTCATTTCCATTTGCATCTCATTCATTAGAACTGAGAATGTGTCTCCAGGACGATTCCGTCTTTAGGTTTTGTCTTAGTTACCTAGTGCTGCTATAACAGAAATACCACAGGTGCGTGGCTTTAACAAACAAAAGTTTCTTTTCTCATGGTTTAGGAGGCTAGAAGTCCAAATTCAGAGCACCGGCTGTAAGGGAAGGCTTTCTCTCTCTGGTGGCTCTGGAGGAAGGTCCTTGTCTCTTCAGCTTCTGCTTCCTGGTTCCTTAGAGTTCTCCATTGTCTTGGCATCTATCTTACCCCATCTGTCTCTGCTCGCTTGTTTGATCTCTTTTATGTCTGAAAAGAGATTGACTCGAAATACACCCTCCACTAATCTTGCCTCATTAACATGACAAAGACAATCCCTTCCCAAATGGGATTATAACCATAGGCATAGAGGTTAGGATTTACAATACATATTTTTGGGGGGACACAATTCATAACAGGTATATTTCTCCATATACACATGTTATCAGGAGCTCTGGTGGTGCAGTTGCTAAGAGCTTGGCTGCTAACCGAAAGAAAGGTTGGTGGTTCAAACCTACCAGCTGCTCTGTGGGAGAAAGATGTGGCAGTCTACTTCCGTAAAGATTTTCAGCCTTGGAAACCCTATGGGGCAGTTCTACTCCGTCCTATAGTGTTGCAATGAGTTGGAATCGACTTGACAGCAGTGGGTTTGGTTTTTTTTTATTATAAATTTTATGCCCTTTTGGCCACTCCCACATCACGATGTGGGTACCACTGATTATGAATAGCAGACAATGAAAAGGACAAGCCCCTTAACATCTGGCAGCACCTGGCACCAGATGATGGTCTGTGCAGCGCTGGGCTGGGGCTGCCCTTGCCCATCCTGACCAGCTCTCACCCTCCGGCCGCCCTGTGCCAAGTCCCCTGTGGCAGCAGGACACACGAGGCAGACTTCGAGAGTATGCCATCCAGAACCAAAAGTTCCTTCAGGGCACAAAGTCCAAATGGGTTTTGTATAAATAAGATTAACCAACAATTGCCTAAATCTCTTTTAGTCAAAGCTTCCTTTTTTTTTTTTTCAACCTTTCTTTAAAAAGAAGGAATGAAAGTAAGAGAAAGAGATTAAGGCCAATCAAGACCAATATCAAGGTTCAATATGTTGTCCAAACCAAACCAAACCCATTGCCTTGAAGTCTATTCTGACTCATGGTGACCCCGTGTGTTACAGAGTACAACCACGCCACAAGATTTTCTCGGCTTTAATCTTTATGGAAGCAGGTCACCGGTCCTTTCTTCCACGATGCCTCCGAGTGGGTTGGAATCACCAACCCTTCAGTTAGTAGTCAAGTGCAAACCATTTGTGCTACCCAAGGACCATTCAGTATGTTTTAAGTGAAGCTAAATTGATGTGATGGTGGTTTCATTTCCTTTCTCCTCTCAAAACCCACTCTAACAGTGGGTGTCCCACTAGCTCCTCTAGATAGGGTACAGGTGAGAGAGCTTTGGAGAAAGTGAGGGGAACTAGCAGGAAAAGAGCCTCCCAGAGAAAGCCAGAAGCAGGGGGGTTGGGAGGCTGGAGAGTACAAGCCAGGCTGAGCCACTGCCAAGTTGCTTCCATTCAATATGGAAGCCAAGGAACAGAATTGCTTTCCAAAAATAGCCAAGTGGAGTCATCAGTGCCAAAGATCTGAAGCCAGTGAGCGTGGTTGCCCTGTCTGGCCCTGCTGCAGACCCTGGAGGGCAAAGCAGCTAAGCCTTCCTCCAATCCTTTTGGACTGGACCCCGACTCCCTCTTCTCTCAGAGGTCATCAGGAAGCCACTCCTTTCCCTGGACCAACATCACATGAGAAACCCCAGGGTCTAGGAACAGAGGGCAAGGAATTGGGACAGGCAAGAGCTGTGAAAGGGACGGCATGACATGGAGGAAGCAGTGTTGGTTTTGGGGTTGGACAGAGCTAGGTTTGAATCCCAGTTCCGTCACTCGTAGTTCTGAGATATAGACAGGTTACTCAACAGAGGCCTCACTTTCTCCATCTGTAAATTGTGGCAAGGATTAAATAAGATATGCATGTAAAGTGCCTGGCATGTAGCAGGCACTGGGTAAATAGCAGCTTTTATTTTAATCATTATTACTATAAGTACACCCATCCTGAGTTTGTTTCAACAGTTGAACATATTGTCATTTACATTATAATAACTAACAAATATTATCCTTGGCAGGCACAGATGTGTGGCCCCAGAATAGCATCTGCGGCAGCTGGGAAGTCATTCCAGGCTCTTGGCGCGGTGTCTTAGCAGCAATTTGATCTGAAGATGGTTACCAGGGTGCTCTGGGGCAGCCTGAGCCTGCTCCGCGTGGTGTGGTGTCTCCTTCCACAGACAGGCTATGTGCACCCCGATGAATTTTTCCAGTCACCTGAGGTCATGGCAGGTGAAGCTCCCCAGGGGTAATCAAGATAGGCTGCAGCAAAGTCTGGCTGTGTTGCTCTCTGGATGTTGAGTGGGGAGGAAGAAGTATGTCTGTGCACATGGGCAGTAAATGCACGAGCAAAGCCAGAGCCTCTCTGGGATAAGACTTGGGAGTGGGGACTTCACACCTTCCTGAGTGATGGCACTGACCTTCTGAGCCCTGGCCCCTGCCAGTTGCCACAGTTGTGTGGGTTTGGCATCTGCACAGTGTTTGTATTAATAGTTGCTGCCTGCTTGGGCCAACAGTATGAGTCATTGAGAAAGAAAGCTGCATTGGACTTCTCAGTGGAGGGAATCTTAGAGTTGTGCCTCCCCAAAGGCTGGGGGAGTTTACACAAGGCTGTGGTCTCAAATAATGTAGGTTGATATGAAGGATGAGGGAACTCAGATCTGGGATGCTCACTTTTTAAAACTTAACTGCTAAGGGGGTATATGGCACATCATAAGGATAGTTTTGGGGGCCTAGAGACTTTTTAGATGCTGTGAGTGCATGGCATCTTCCTCATGGTTCAGTATGGCTGGGGTGGAGGGGCTCTAGCCATCAAGTCTGCTTTCCAGACAACAGGAAGGAAATGAGCATGCCTGCTCCCTTTAAGATCATTTTTTGAAAGTCACGTGCTTTCCTCCCACTTACATCCTGTCTTAGTTATCTAGTGCTGCTATAACAGAAATACCACAAGTGGATGGCTTTAACAAAGAGAAATTTATTCTCTCACAGTCTAGGAGGCTACAAGTCCAAATTCAGGGTGTCAGCTCCAGGAGAAGGCTTTCTTCTCTCTGTTGGCTCTGGAGGAACGTCCTTGTCATTCAATCCTCCCCTGGTCTATGAGCTTCTCAGCACAGAGACCCCAGGTCCAAAGGACGTGCTATTCTCCTGGCTCTTGTTTCTTGGTAGTATGAGGTCCCCGTGTCTTTCTGCTCGCGTCTCTCTTTTATATCTCAGAAGAGATTGATTTAAGACCCAGTCTAATCTTGTAGATTGAGTCCTGCCTCGTTAACATAAATGCCACTAATCCCACCTCATCAGCATCATAGAGATAGGTTTTACAACACACAGGAAAATCACATCAGATGACAAAATGGTGGACAGTCACACAATACTGGGACTAATGGCCTAGCCAAATCGATACACATATTTTTGGGGGATCCAATTCAATCCATGACACATCCCATTGGCCAGAATATATCACATGACCACACCTAGCTGCAAGGGAAGTTGAGAAATGTAGTCTTTACACCTAACCAAGTGCCAAACTAAAGAGAGGGATTCTATGACGAAGGAAGAGGGGAGGATGGATATTCGGGTGTGCGAAATGGCACTCTCTACTTCTCTTCTGGGTTCGATAATCCATTGCAATGTCCACACAGAACTCACAGACCATACTTACAGATAAGTGGTTTATTAAGGAACAGGGTACAACTCAGGATCAGGATCAACAGGTTACAACTCAGGACCAGGATCAGGAAGCAGGTAGGCAGAGTCTCCTTTCTTCAGTGTAGGACAGCTCTCTCAGCTCCTCTCAGCCTTGCAGGCCTCCTCTGGGCCCCCTGAGGACAGGCTCCTCTCAACCCTGACATCTGTCACCACTGACTGCTGCAGAACCCCTTCCAGGCCTGTCAGCTCTGGCTCTGCCACTGGGCCCCTTCTGGGCCACTCGCTGTCTTCAGTGTTATTGCCCTTGCCCCATGTTACAGCTCTTTTAATTGGTTCCTTGCCTCCGCTCCCTCTCTCTGCTTCTTCTGTTTTCTGTCTTCTTTCTTCCTGCTGCTTCTTTTCCTGCTTCTTTCTGTGTCAAAAACCTGTGTGGCATTGGCTGCATATATACACAATTGTTTGTCAATTTCAAGGCATGGTCCCTGGGGGAGGGGAGCGGGGAGTAAAAACTGACAAATCCCCTCGCCCCACAGACACTTCATTTGCATAGTAGGCTACAGACACTTCATTTGCGTAGTATATTGACCAATCCCTGCAAGGTGCACACTAATAACAGGGCAGGCTGCAGCCCAGGGCCGAAAAAAGGTATCAAACCGAGTTGTTTACAGCTTACCCAAGAAATGTCGGATCAACCTGGACAAAAGTAACAAACCCTGTATGGTAGAAAACTAAGGCAAAGGTAACTCCTCAGGGTTTAGAGGAAAAATCTCTCAAGCTGTTTTCCCAAAGACCCAAGGCGAAAGGCCACATAAAGGAACTCATTTCACCACAGGGAGATACCCAGATATCTTTGCCACAGGGCTCAACAGATGGATTTGATTTTTAAGCTCAAAAGTCCGGTCTTCTTTTTCACGTATATATAGTTTTTAACCTGAGCCAGTAAAAAGCAGCCAGATCAAGCTGATCCTCGATATTCTGTTTCCTTTTCACCTTCTGACATAGACAAAATAGAGGACTGAGAGTGAGTCCCTGGTGGCAGAATTAGCTCCAAACTACCAGGATGAGATGTTGTAGACAGTGGGGCTTGGAGCTGAGCTGCAGAAACTAAGAATTTGTTTCCCTAAGGCCCCCCCCCGCCCCGTCTCCACCGCTCTGCGCTCTGGGATGTTGGGGCACAGGGTCCCAGACCAGCCCCAGGCGGCTAGTTTTTTTTTTGGTTTGTTTGTTTTTTTAATTACATAAGTACTGCTTGAAAATATTCTTCTTATAAAACGTTAAACTATCAACGAAAGTCCCCTTTGATCATAAGCTTTGTTGCTCGTTCCCATCCCCCATTCTCACGCCTCCTCTCCTGATCACAGTCATTATCAGTGGGATGGGTTTTTGCATCTGAATTTTGAGATCTTAGAACTCTGAGGAGAAGGATTGAGCCTCACCCTGTCCCTCCCCACACACCCTGTCTAGGGCACGTTGTCACCTCATCTCCCAGGTGTGGCTCCTCCTGCCCACTGCACAAGGTGGGGCCTCTGAAGGGCTCAGCTCCTATGCATCATTTCTGTGCTGCATAATAAAGCATCATAAACTTAGCAGTTTAAAGCCCCACCCCCATGTTGGCACCCAGTGCTATAGGCTAGCATGGCGAAGCTCGGCTCTCTCTCTGCTCAGCATATCACAAAGCAGAAACCAAGCTATAGGCTGGGCTGAGCTCTTGTCTGGATGCTTCAGGGAAAATCGGCATCCTAGCTCATTCTTGTTAGCAGAATTTAGCTCCTTGCAGCTATGGGACTCGGATCCCATTTCCTTGCTTGGGGGTGCTCTCAGTTCCTAGAGGCTGCCTGCATTCTTGCCAGTGGCCTCCTCCTTTTCAAGCCTCCAAGGACACATCGAATCCTCCTTGTGCTTAAGCCAGGCTCACCGGGTAATCTCTCTATCTTAAGGTCAGCTGTTACCTGCGACATACCCTGATTATGGGAGAGAAAGCCATCGTACTCACAGTCCCAGGGATTATGCAGGGCGTGCACACTAGGGAAGGGTGCCTGGATGGTGCAAATGGTTCGCGCTAGTTACTAACCTAAAGGTTGGCACTTTGAACCCGCCCAGTGGCACCCTGGAAGAAAGGCCTGGTGATCTGGTTCCATAAAGATTGTTGTTAGGTGCTGTTGAGTCGATTTCAACTCATAGTGACCTCATGTGACAGAGGAGAACTGCTCCATAGGGTTTTCTAGGCTGTAATCTTTCCAGGAGAAGATCACCAGGTCTTTCTCCCACGGAGCTGCTGGGTAGGTTCAAACCTCCAACCTTTCAGTTAGCACCCGAATGCTTAGCCATTGTGCCACAGGGCTCCTTGTTCTGTAAAGCCTAGAAAACCCTGTGGAGCAGTTCTACTCTGTAACACATGGGGTTGCCATGAGTCAGAATCAACTTGATGACAATGGGCTTGGTTTTTTTTGTTTTGGTCACTAGAGGGGGTGGGAAATCTTGGAGGCCATCCTAGAATTCTGCCTCCCACATGCCCTGAGCTTGGTACTGGCTCACCTCTGCCTGTCTCTCTGCAGAAGACATCTTGGGCATGGAGGCCGCAAGACCGTGGGAGTTTGGGCCGAGCAGCTCATGCCGCACGGTGGTCTTCCCGCTGCTGACCTCGGGCTCTGTCTTCTGGCTGCTCAGGCTCTGGGAACAGCTGGGGCCGTGGCCTGGCCCGGTGAGTGGCTACATGCTGCTGGTGGGGCCCCGGCTCCTCCTCACCGCCCTCTCCTTTGCCCTGGATGGCGCCGTGTACCACCTGGCCCCGCTGTGGGGGGCGGAGCGCTGGACCGCGCTGGCCCTCCTGGCTGGCTCCTACGTCACTCTGGTCTTCTACACAAGGACCTTCTCCAACACCATTGAGGGACTGCTTTTCGTGTGGCTGCTGGTGCTGGTATCCCCCCGCGTAGCGGGGAGCCCCACACCCAAGAGGCCTGCTTCAGGCCCCTGGTGGCACAGCTGGCTTCTTGGAGGCGTGGTGGCTGCTGGCTTCTTCAACCGGCCCACCTTTCTGGCTTTTGCTCTGGTCCCCCTCTTCCTCTGGGGCGTTGGTGGAGCCCCGAACCCTGGCTTCAGGTCACTGGCTCGTGAGGCCCTGGCGCTGCTCCCGGGGGCAGCCCTCACTGCAGCAGGGTTTGTGGCCGTAGACAGCTGGTACTTCTCCAGCCCATCGAGGGCCAGTGCACTGGTCCTGACGCCTGCCAACTTCCTGCGCTACAACCTGGACCCCCAGAACCTGGCCAGGCACGGAACGCATGTGCGGCTCACCCACCTGGCGGTCAATGGCTTCCTGCTCTTCGGGCCGCTGCACGCCCAGGCCCTGCAGGCTATGTGGCAGCAGCTGCAAGCTGGCCCGTGGGCCTTTGCGCAGACGGGCTTCCTGAGGGTGCTGGGTGCCCGCAGCCTGCTGTCCAGCCCCAGGTCTTACCTCCTTCTCCTCTATTTCACACCGCTGGCCCTGCTATCTGCCTTTAGCCACCAGGAGGCCCGGTTCCTGATCCCCCTCCTGGTACCCCTAGTCTTGCTTTGTAGTCGTCGGACTCAGCCTGTGCCCTGGAAGGGCACCCTGGTCCTCTTCAATGTCCTGGGGGCCCTCTTCTTCGGCTGCCTGCACCAGGGGGGCCTAGTACCTGGCCTGGGGCACCTGGAGCAGGTAGTCCACGCACCTGTGCTCCCAGGTGTAAATACCCACTATACACTGCTCTTCGCCCACACCTACATGCCCCCCCGGCACCTCCTGCGCCTCCCAGGCCTGGGGTCACCCGTGGAGGTGGTGGACATGGCTGGGACGGAGGACTGGATCCTGTGCCAAGCCCTGAACAGCTTCGCCACACAGCCAGCCTGCCAGGCAGCTGGTGGGCCGTGGCTCTGCCGCCTGTTTGTGGTGACCCCTGGCACCACCAGACCTGCCATGGAGAAGTGTGGCTTCCCCCTCAAGAATGAGATGCTAGTGTTTCCCCACCTGACCATGGAGGACCCACCAGCCCTGTCCTCCCTGCTGAGTGGGGCGTGGAGGGACCACCTCAGCCTCCACATCGTGGAGCTGTGGGAGAAGGCTGATGCTGTGACGGAGCAGCCACTGCCCACAATCCAGCCGTAGAATCTGCCTCTCCGCCTTCTGCAGGGGCAGCAGGGCTGGACAGGCCCTGGTTCTCTTCCTTTCCTTTCCCTTCAACGATTTGCACCACTGCTGCTCCTGGGCACAGCTGTTGGCTGCTCTGCCTTTTGGGTGAGCTGTCCTCTCTTCCCTCAGAGACCAAAGATCTGACCCATCACGGTCCTGATGCCAAGGTCGCCAAAGGATCCTGGTGTAACCAATGGCACCTCGTGTCTGTCCCTGCCCTGCTCCCTCCAGCCACTGTGATGTGTTAAATGTATCAAAGCACCTGTTGTGAAAAGAGATGATCTGCTAATGACATTCCTAAGTGACCTCCCCCAGACCTTCCTCGATGCCTTACCTCTGCGCATGACAGCCCTCTGGCTTCCTGGATGCCTGGAAGGCAGTGTGGTAAAGTAGAGACAGCATGTGACTCAGATGCAGGGGGCTGAGTTCTCGTCCCTGGTCTGCCATTCTCTGGTGGTGTGACCTTGAGCAAGCCCTGTGCTCTCACCCAGCCTGTTTCCCAGCTACACACTGGGTCACTGGACCTCTGAGGTGTCTGTGGCTATCCCTGGCATTCCTGGGTTCCGCAGCACGTGGCCTCTGGCCAGGTAGGCATGTCCCTCACAAAGCTCCTTAAGCATGGACGTGGGGGTGTTTTGTATCTAAAGGCACTTTGATGCCTGCTGTCTCAGTGTTTGGTTGTTACCAAGACAGATCATTCTGGATCTTTTCTCCTCACCCTTTGCTATCCTGCCCCGACAGAGGCGGTGGGAAGTCTCCAGCCACTTCTACACCTCACCTTTTGAAAATCGTCTTCCCAGGTTAGGAGCCCGGATGTTCCCTCCCCAGCAATGCTGTCTCGGCCCTCTCAGCCCTCTCCCCTAGGCACGGAGAAAGTGCAAGGCTCAGTCAGGATCTGAGGGCCCCGAACCACAGCCTGGCCCTCTGAGGGGCCTTTTCTTAAGTGTGGCTGGCCACTCCAAGCTCAGAGCCCCTGTCTGAAACCTCTCTTCACAGGATGGAGAGCAAACTCCATGCAAAACCAATACCTGCTGCTCTGGTGGGAGCCACCACATCCTGGCAAGTTGCTTGCCACCACACAGGGTACTTCCACCCGGACCACAGGAGCGTGAGGAGCTACGGTACCACTAAGCCTGCCCTGACCCTCTCCCCCACACCCCTCCCATCCCCAGTGAGAACACGAGGCACCCAGGCCACAGAGGTCAGTGACCTGGAGGTCAGCGTGGAGCAGGAGCCCAAATCTATGCAAATAACCAAACCTGAGCACACGGTTCTAGTTCTGCCTCCTGGCTAAAGCCCTGCGTCACCTTAAAACCACACTGCTCGCAGGCATGCTGCTCTGTGGCTCTGAGGCACACAGCCTCCTCATAACCCCAGTGCCATTGAGGAAGAGGAAAGTCGGTGGCGTGCTGGTAAATATTGAACAACCCACTCTCTGGGGTGAAAAAAAAAAAAGCTCTGATTTGTAGCGTTGGCCAATGTCTGTGGTGTAAATACTCCCACCGTGACCACGTTCAAGCTGCCAACATGATGTCACTGAACTCGGAGTTGGGACAAGATGCCATTAGTCGGCTCTCATGAGCCAGTGTGAGCTGCTCTAGCACACCGCAGGACCTTTCCCTCCTGTGAACTCTATGGTACCATTCATAACACTGCATTGTTCTTGTGTCTTACGCCGTGAGCCTCTGCTTTGTCTTCATACCCCTAGTGCTTAGCATCCTGTATGGCATGTGGCGAGCAGCTGTTCACTTTGCAGCCAAAGACAGCTTTCTGCACAACAGGTAAAGGCCAAGTGCCACCTTGGAGACACTCTGGACTCTGGGACCCAAACTCTCCTCTGGGTTTCTTGGGACTCTTGTTCCCCCCACCCTACTTGGGTCCACAACCTCGCAATTCCCTGCAGGAATTTTTGGTGTAGTGGGAATTGTGGCGGTCCCTGAGCTCTAAGAAATAAATAAAGTGCTGGTATCCTGGTATCTCTCTGTAGCATGAAGGGGTGAGTTGCTTCCCTGCTTCACCTGGCAGGGCTTGGAAGAGCTTAAAAAGGCACGCTGGGGAACTGCTGCCGCTGGAGGTGGTGGGAAGAAGCCTGCTTCTTCAGGAATAGAGTAACTGCGGCAATGGCAGGCCACTGCGGGCAGGGGTGGCCCACATCACCTCGGGCTGCAGCAGAAAGGACCAGATTTTCTCCATGTGCTCTCAGATCCCTTCTACAAAAATTGAGGAAACTTAGTTCTTGTCTGCTTCCTCCAGGGAAAATAAAGAACTGCCCCTTCTTTTGCTTCCCTTCCTTACCAAGCAGCCAGTTTGTGTCTGGAAGCTTCACTGCTTGCTGCCCTACTTCCCCTTCTGTCCTCATCGGTCATCGGTCGAGTAAGAGACTTCACAGCGAGTATGCTTGTTCATGGTGGGGGTGGGGGCCTGGCTGGGGACGGCTAATACTCATCCAGAGACCAAAGAGGTTCTCAGGCTCCAAGGAGAACCCTGCTGGCTGTGGAAAGGGGGGATCTGAAAGCCCTTCGACAGGAGGACAGACCAGGACTTTGGCCGTTAGGAGTGGGGGACCTCTGGCCTCAGAGAACATTTAATAGCATCACCTCTAATAGGGGACTGGAGGGTGAGATGCCAGCTCACAAGGATGACCGACGAGCCAGTTTCTCCATCCTCAGTAGAAATAACAACTGTGTATTTATAGCCTGAAAATACGTTCCTTTCAAACATGGATGGGGCAGGACCTTGAATAGCTCCTTTGACCTTCTCAGGTTAAAGGAAACAGGGCTAATTTTGGCAAAATGGAAACTTTTGACTGCTAAGTTCCTCTGTCACCCTTACCTATCAAATAGCCAGCACCCTAAGGATCCCTCTGCTTTCACTGACAGTTCCACTTTAAGTGGTTTATTATTTCTACTCTTTTTCAGGCATCTTTTCAATTTATGCCTCATCTTCACAGTAAAATGTTTACTAGTTTAGTTAATGCTCTTTGGGTTACAAGTAACAGCACTAACCTGGGGGAGGGAAAGCTTTTATTGTAGGGATACTGTTATCGCCCAGATTTTAGAGTCGTACAAGCAACACTGGAAAAGGACACAGTCAGAGTCCCTTGGCAGCAGACTATTTGGGACATTCTCTTTGGGTCACAGCTACTAATAGGGTTACCAGCAATTCTTTGTCTTGAGCCCAAAGTCCTAGGCATTTGCATCTCATTAGTCCACCCTGAACCATGTCGTCTGGCCAGGAACAGAAGCAAGGCTATAGAAAATACACCCTGTGGGCAGGCCAGCTAGTGCTCAGAGAAAAAAAGGACAGACAGCTATTCCAGTAGGTGCAGGCAGCATTATTTGAGGGGCATCTTTTCAGTGCCCTGCAAAGCAATCACACTGGGTCTATCTGCAGAACTGGCCTGATGCAGGTGTGGGAGGGTATCTGTGGGAGGAGGATCTGTTGTTGGTTTCAGAGGCGGCAGACCATGACTCACCCCTTAATAATAAGGAAGGTGGCGAGAAGGGTCCTATTCTTAGGAAAAGTTTCCAGACTGACACTGACGCAGGAGAACTATAAAAATGAAAAGTAAACAGGGCTACCTGCACAAAAACAATATAACACATGGCTAGGAAGCCTTTATACCCAAATACCGTGTAACACCATTTTTCAAGGAAGCACAGGGCCGGAGCTGAGTTAGGAAAATGGTAGCCCATAGCCATTTTGTTAGGCCTGTTAACACTTTAAAAAACCAGATTTCTCGTAGACAATGAAATTTCCAAGTTCTGAACAATTAGAAGATCCAGCACCACCAGGGTACAGTCCCACACAGTAAAACCAGCTGGCATGGAGTAACTGCTACCCCTCCAGATGGGTTAGGGGCTCTCCAGCTTGCCATAGGCCCCTCAACATTCATTGCTTCGCCCCTGCAGTGAATGAGCATGAGCTTGAACCCTCCGGGGTAGGTGTCTAGGAGCTATCCAGCTCATTCTCCATGACTGTCAGAAAAGCCAGGGTATAAATTCTGCCTTTCCTGTGGCTTCAAACCTTCTAGATTACATGATTAACTGTGTAGCTTAATTAGAGACAATCAAATTTAACCAGGAACCTCAAATGACAGGGCATTTCTTTATATAATAGATTTCCTAACCATGGGTTCATTAGCTGGACCATAACCTTCCTTAGTTTGTATCCCAGATCCTCTAAAATGGGAACTAGGAACACAGGTAGTTTGTTCCATGGTGGGCCATTATCCTAACGCCTGGTCGGTGATGGGGGGGAGGCAGCATCCAGAATCAGGGTAAATGCTGCATACATGGTGATTAAGAACTTAGGCCCAGGAGTCAAATGCCTGTGTTCATGTCCCACTCTGTAAGGCCTTGGGCAACTTAAGTAATCACTTCCTCTTACGACAGTGCAGGGAGTAAAGAAGATATCTCACACAGAGTGCAATCAGCAAGTGCCAGAAGAGGGGAAGCACTCGATATGTTCGCTATTATTACCATGGGCCTATAGTCCCCAGGATTCCTAATCCATCTTGCCTGAGAAGTACCACACTCAGACCCATTAATCAGCTCACACATTTAATCAGAGAAATTTGGCAGCTGCGGGGTTGTCTTTTCATCGATGGTCTTCCCCGCAAGCAGAGCTCTATCAGGGCAGAGGCAGCAGCATCTATCAAGAGTTCTGGTCCCATTCGCAGTGGGCAAGATCTCTTTAGGGCTGTGGTTCGGTCCACGGATCTTTATCTCCGTCGGGCTTCGGCGTCTGTCTCCATACTGTGCCTGTCCGATCACTCGATCACAGATCTTCAAAGAGGCTGTCGGTTTGGTCTGGGTTCTCTTATGAGTAGGGCTTCTGTAGGCCGACAATCGGAGTCAGGATTCGGAACCGCGCGCCGTGCCCGGAATGACCCCTCAACGCCGAGACCGGTGGAGAGTCCAGAAGGGGGCGCTGACGGCCCTGGCCCGGCCCAACCGGGGTTTAAGGGTCCGCGCCCGAACGCCTCTGGCTACCTGGTGGTGACCCCGGGCGGTCCCGGAGGCCGCGGCGCAGCTCCTGGTTGAAGGTGTCTCTGAAGCGGGCAGCGCGGCGGCACAGGGAGCCCGCGGGCCCGGCCGCGATCCCCCGCAGGCGGCGGGCCGCATCCTTCCCGCGCAGCTGGGCCTGCAGCAGCGCGAAGGCCGTGAGCTGTGCCGCACGCCGGATGGGCCGCGACTCGGAGAGACGCTCAACCAGCTGCGGGCTGTGCAGCAGGGCGGCAAGCAGCCGCCGAAACACCATCCTCCCGGGAGCGCTCCGGAACCCGGGGCACACCGCTCTAACCTTCTGATCGGCGGCGCCCGAGAGCGGACCGCTTCTGCGCCCGCGCCGCCTGATGACGACACTGCCGCGCTCTGATTAGGCCCAAGGATTCCCGCTTTCTCTGCTTCCTGCGGCCTCCTCCGTGCGTTTCCGGTTCCGCCACCGCTGCCGCCGCAGCCTCATTGTTCCCGGAGTCGCGGTGTCCCCGTCCACCTCCGCACTATGTCCGGTGGCCTCCTGAAGGCGCTGCGCAGTGACTCCTACGTAGAGCTGAGCCAGTACCGGGATCAACACTTCCGGGTGAGGGAGCCCGCGCCGCCCAAAGGCCGAAAGCTAAGAAACTGTTTGCTCTTATCATTGTGCCGTCTCTTATCCTGCTAGTGTCGCGCGACGCGAAATGCGGCCGCAGTGCCGCCCGGGGAAGCAGGGTATGGGTGCTGGAAGGGTGTTTGTGTTTCACCGAAGCCACTTCCTCGCTAAAAAGGGAGTTTGAGGCTCGTTTTCCCATTCCCTTGCAGCCCTCCCTGTCCCCGGGCCCATGCAGGAGTGTTTGGGCCGTACTAGTGGCAGTGGTGACATTGACAGTAGCAGTATTAGTAGTAGTGGTCGGCAGTAGGAGTGGTGGTTCCCATTTTCAGGGCCTGTGCCTCGGGGAGGTGATTTTGAGATGAGGGGCAGGGCTGCCCGTTTAACTCTGGAGTATGTGGAGGCGCGCCTTCCTTACCCAGGTACCAGGGCTTGCTTGCTTTTTAAAATTCGATCAGGGAGACAATGCCCTTTGGCGCTTTGACCCCTTTTCTTCATTAGGTAGAACGGTCCTATCATGTTCTACGCTGTGGATGGGAGACACAAAGTTGAGCCGTGCCTGAGCCCTAGGGAGGTGGACCAGCCAAGCTGGGCAGGTAGTGGATGTGTGGGTGTCAAGATCAGAGAATCGCTGGATTTTAGAAGAGGAAATTTTTAGTTTAGGCTATGTCAGAATAGATTTATGAAGGAGAAGAAGGCTGCAGAATTTAGATGTATACTCAGTGTGGGCTTTTCAGTATCAGCAAAGGCCAGGAATGGCGGGTTGGGGTGGGGAAGGATCATTAGGAGACAGTTTCATTAATCCAGTTATTTAGGTTTTCATTGGGTTTATTGGGTGTTGTTATGAAACCTGCTGAGCCATACAGGGAGGGGGAAATCAGTTTCTGCACCCGAGGCGCTCACAGTCCTCTAGTAGGGATTGTAAATAGAAGCAAGTACTCATACTTCAGAGCAGACATGCTGAGCCCAAAGGGAGGGGTTGTGAGGATTCAGAGAAAGGAGAACCCTTGTGACTGGGAAGGAGGGAGCATGTGTAGGAGAGAGCAGGCATGGAGAATGTGTAAAATGTGTTAGTAGGGCAGGGAAAAGGAACTTCTGTTTGAGGCTAAATTGAGGAGGATTTTAAATTCATTCACTCAGTCCAGCAGTTTTTAAATGCTTATGCTGTGCTAGGCATGATTTTCACTTCTGCCACTTTTACAGTTCTCATAACTTTAGAAAGTTCCACATCGTAACTATCTTGAATTGAAACCATCCTGCAAGATTAAAACTGAAAGAATTGGACTTTTGCTATTATTCATCTCTGCAATTTAAAGCTTATAGCTTTAATTAGATAGTAGTACAGAACTATCCTGCAGAATTTCTAGTGTTCCCTAAGTGGAATCCACATTGTGTCATACCTTAAGTAAGTACTTAAACCACAGTTGGCTCAAGCCACAGGCTGTTTGTTTGGACATTACTTGTATGTGTGAGAAAAGTGAAACTGCTTCCTGACCGTAATTTTAACACATCAGTAACAGCAGTAATAAAAAGTTCATCTACTTTCCCTAATGTCTCATTCCAAAGTTCTGAAAACCTATTGTTAACATAGAATGTCTGTTCTTCTGTGGTTTTTCTAAGGCAGTGTGGGATTGGAGATTAGACTAGGTTTGAATTGCAGTGAGAACTACTGAGTAGCTCTAGGACTTGGACAGCTTACTCACTCTTTTTCCTCATGTGTAAGGTGAGGCTAATAAGTTAGGACTTACCTTATACAGTTGTTCTAAGAATTAGGTGAGACAGCACACATTCAGTCTGACTTGCTGTCCCTTGGTTCTCCCCAGAGGTAGACAGAGTCACCACTTCATGCTTTTAAAACATATCATTTAGAGCATACCCTTCACACTGTTCTGTACCTTTCTTTTTTCACTCTGTATTCCGGAGATGTTCTATATCACTGCATGCAGATGGACAGTTTTCTTGGGGCTGCGTAGTTTTACACTGATGAGTTGTAATTTATTCAGTTGGGTTCCTTTGGATGTGAATGTAGATGGTTTCCCTAGTTCTCTAATCTACCACTGCTTGTGATCACATGAGACCTGTTACTTTGTGCTTTGTGCTGCAAAGTGTTCAGAGACCAGTGATGCAAGGTCATATTCTCAGAGTGAAGGAAACTGGATAAGCATTACACATGGAGGGCTCTGGGATCTGCTCAGCTAGTACCTTCCGAGCTGGAATACCACTGTGAGGTATAAGAAGGGTCATCTTAAATCCACACTCAGTGTATGCTTCATGTTAGAGCCCTCCGTGGGTCAGGAGGGCCTGCGAGCAGGTCAGCTGGTAGGCCTTCTATTAAAAGAGCAACTGTCCTCCCCAATGTGGAGGCGAGAAGAGAACGTCCGCAGATGGCCACACTGGTTTCTGTGAAGTCATTAAGTTAACTAGTCTAGCCCATGAGGAGCCATCTTGTTCCCAGGGATTGTCAGGTGTTTTTGCTGAAACCCAGTTATACTCTTGTCTCTGGCTTTATCCTGTCTTCCATATTAGGAAGTCCATCGAGAATGTGAGATCACTTTCGTTTTTAGTGATCACTACATTTTCTCCTAAACTGAGAAAAACATATGAGCATGTAAACCGTCTAAGCAGTTGTTTTTGAATGGTCTCTATGGGAGCTTTCAAGGAAACCCTAATCTTTGGAAACCCATTTATTTTTCACTACAAAGGATAAAAGAGCCCTTCCTGATACACTGACTCAAGGGCCACTAGAGAAGGATACGGTGCTGAAGGGGTGCAGGAGAAGGCTGGTTGCCTGCAGGGTAACTTTCGAGCCTTGACCCTCTGTGAAGAGCGGCCTGGCCTTTGCATAAGTGCTTCATGGAGTGCAGCTCCCTTCCCTCGTGTTTTTACCCGGGATTTGCAGCGGATTGGTGTGAGAGAAGCTGACTCCCAAATCAAAACTGATGCAAGTGTTTACCATACTTAGGACCCCTAAGCAGGACTGTTTTTAGGTTGTGTTGCTTAACTTTTTGTCTGTCCAAAATTCTAGGGTGACAATGAAGAACAAGAAAAATTACTGAAGAAAAGCTGTACGCTGTATGTTGGAAATCTTTCCTTTTACACCACTGAAGAACAAATCTATGAACTCTTCAGCAAGAGTGGTGACATAAAGAAAATCATTATGGGCTTGGATAAAATGAAGAAAACAGCATGTGGATTCTGCTTTGTGGAGTATCCTTCCTGTATGTCTGATGCAGCTGCTGAACTGGGGTAGAGCCGGCTGGACAGTTGGCTGTTGAGTGGATTGATTTATTAGCATCCCCACACTTACCTCTGCCTCCTTCCCTTGTCTGCTTCCTCCTTTCTGTCTTGTGTCCATGCTCTCAAGTTGTGAAAGCTGGTAACAGTTACATTCTCTTCTGTAATTCATGCTTTATGGTTGATTCTTGAAGAAAAACAATCTTTTGTCCATGGTGTTTTAAAAAAAAGCCCCAAAAGGGGTAGTGAAAATAAAATCCCCATACCACTCCGAACCCCTAATTCCCTTCCCCAGAAGGCAATCAGTTAGCAATTTCTTGGGTATCCTTCCAGAAATAATCTTTTGGATGTGAAGGGGCATACTGCATGCACTGTTTGTTTCTCCCTCTACCTCCTATGCTAATCTTAGTGTTCTGTGTCCGCATCGGTAGGTCTTTTTTTTTTTTTAAATGGCTGTACAGTATCTCATTATGTAGACGGATATAGATTGATTTTACAGACAAAAACCCAAACCATATTCATCTATTCTCTTCCTGGAAACTGTAAATATTGGACCTCTTGGATTTATCCTTTGGATCTTTTTACTAGTGTTTTCTTTTTTGGTCATTTTGTTTTACATTCTGAGAAATTTCCCAGACCTAATCTGATGTGTCTTTTGAAATTTTTATTTTTTTCTGTGCCCTTAATTATGTTTCTTCTGGTGTCAGTTCTGTTTGGTTTTCTACTTTTTGGGGTGTATTTTATGCTGTAATTGTCCTCAAATGTCTGATTCTTGGTTTTCCATTTTTAAATTAGGGAAGAGAGCTGACTGTGGACCTGCACAGGATTTCTCTCTCAAGTTGTTGGCTTGAGTTTGGGTTGGGAGGGTTCCCCATATGCTGGAATGAAAAGGGATTTTACTTTGGCCTGCTAACATCAAAGACACTGCCCCAGTTCCTCCCGACTGTTCATTAAGAATCCTGTCTTTTTTTTTTTTTGGGCTAAATGCCCTCCTGCTTACAGGTCTTCTGCCCACATAGAGAGACCTTTGATTAAATCCCGTTTGCAGCCTTGCTTCTTACTCAACTTTGAATTAAGAGTCTCCTGGGATTGCTATCTCCTACTTCTGTAAGCTCTTCCAGCATGTTCCAGACTCTTCGTTTCATCCAATAGCTCTCTTCCATCAGCTTTGTCTCTCTTTTCTGCTGATGGTCTCCTCCAGTCTTTGGGTTTCTGTTCCTTTTCTCTGTTTTCATGGAGGTCTTGAGAAGTAGAGAAATGTGCTCAGTGTATCATCTTGAACCTGAAGCCCTGCTCCCCACTTTTGATTTTGGTATCTGATTTCTGGGCTTAGCAAGCTTCTTCCATTCTCCCTCCAGACATAAGGGACCAGACTGCCCAGGTTTTCCTTTTGCCTCTGGTTCAAAAAGCATAAAATACTTCACAAGGGCCAGGGAGAACAGTGGGTGGAAAAAAGACTAAGAAAATCCATGCAGTAAATAGTCTGAGAATTTTATGATTTGTTGTTTGTATTTAAAGAGTGAAAACGAGAGTGGTTTTACACTTGCCCTTCTAGGTCGGATCGACAGTTATAACGGCAAATGCCTGAGAGGCTTCCGTTGCCACCTGGTTTTTGCTCACAAATTTATCCTTCCAGCATTTTAAAAATTCAGCAAAAGATTATCAAATGCCTGCTATTTGCTAGGCATCTAGGTGCTAGATACTGAAATTTTTTGCAAGTGTTTACTTCTGTAATTAAAAACCAGAAAAAAAATCTAGATCTGCATTGTCTAAACCTGGCTGATAATCATAATTGCTTGAAGAAATTTTAAAAAATACCACCTTCAAGACAGATTTAGTAGATCTGATACAGTAGGTTTGGAACTACTAACCTGGGTGATTTTGAATCTTCTAATGAAATGCAGTGGCAACTTTACCTGCACTGTGACCTTTCATTAAGATTGTTCTTGAATATTGTTGTTGCCGTCGAGTCAGCTCTGACTCCTGGTGACCTCATGTACAACATACTGAAACACTGCCTGGCCCTGTGCCATCCTCAGGATCCCAATTCATGATCACCCCAATTTGGATGTCACTGTTTTGTTGGATAAGGCTGTGTGCAGTTTGTGGTGTAACCTGCACTGAACATATTGTGCATATCAGACTGTGGGAGCAGTGGGACCAAATAATTGTTAACAGGGCTATCCAGGAAGTCACGATCAACATAAATCCAACCTCACTGCTGTCGAGTCCATTCCGACTCATAGCAACCCCAAAGGACAGAGTTGAACTGCCCCATAGAGTTTCCAAGGCTGTAAATCTTTATGGAAGCAAGACCACCACATCTTTGTCCCATGGAGCAGCTGGTGGGTTTGAACTGCCGACCTTTAGGTTGGCAGCTGAGCACTTTAACCACTGTGCCACCAGACCTCTATATGATCAGTATGGAAAAAAAAAACAAAAAACCCATTGCCATCAAGTCAGTTCCAACTCATAGCAACCCTATAGGACAGTAGGACTGCCTCATAGGGTTTCCAAGCAACGGCTGGTGGATTTGAACTGCCAACCTTTTCGCAGCCGAATGTTTAAGCACTGCCCCACCACGGCTCCGTGATTAACACAGCCATGTATCAATACAGCAAGGGCCTCTGGCCCTCACGCAGGCCTGTGGGCTCCATCTGGTTGGATTTGTTTTTTGTACTCTTACAGCTCGGCTTCATTTAGATGTTACTTTCTGTATTTCCAAAAACGTTTGGGGAAATGCTGTATAGTGTTCCTTAATACTTAAGATACTATTCAAGGCCAGATGCAGAAAATGCCATGAGGTACATAAATGGGACGCGTCTGGATGACCGCATCATCCGCACAGACTGGGACGCAGGCTTCAAGGAGGGCAGGCAATATGGCCGTGGGCGCTCTGGAGGCCAGGTAAGCAGGACAGTTCTCTGGCGTAGCCCATCTGGGTTTCCAGTCCCACTGACACACGTTTTGTCACTCTGTATTTACTCATTACAAATAACTTTGTGTCAGTAACCTTGGCTTTACCCGCATCTGAAAACTACCCATCGGGATTGGTAAATTATTTTTTTAAACCATGAAATGGTATATTCTCTACATTCCCACAAGCAATGATTATTGAATCTCTACTAGGGGCTAGGTATTTTTCCACCTGCAAGAGCGTCTAGGACAAAAGCAAAATGCATTAAAATGAGTTTTCGTTTTAAAATAAAGGGCTTAATTTTTTTTCTTTTTTCTTTTGTTTATGGTAGTTTAAGTGAGTTTACATTTCATGTCAGTCTCTTATACAAAAATTTATACATACGCTATGTGACCCTAATTGCTCTCCCTATACTGTGACAACACACTCCTCCTTTCCACCCGATTCCCGGTGTCCATTCAACCAGCTCCTGACCTTCTCTGCCTTCTCACCTCACCTCCGGACAGGAGCTGCCCGTTTAGTCTCATGCATCTACTTCAGCTAAGAAGCACTCTCTTCACAAGTATCATTTTATGTAAAGGGCTTAATTTAAGTACATATTCTTTGGAATGTGCGATTTTTGAGCACTGGTGAATATGAGCCTACTCTTTGGTAAAAACATCATGAGGCTGTCTTGGATAATTTTGCAAAGCAGTTGAGCTTTCTGTCAGTTGCTCAGAAAAAGTTTAAGTCTGGCCTGAGTGCTCACATTCTACATCTGAAAGGCTTAGGTGTTTGACATCTTGGTGAGAATCCTCGTTGTGACACCAGTCTTCTCTATACCGTAACTTGTGTCTTCAATTAAGGTACGAGATGAGTATCGGCAGGACTATGATGCTGGGAGAGGAGGCTACGGAAAACTGGCACAAAACCAGTGAGTGATGAGAGCCCCATCAGTGACACTCACTCCTCTGGCCTGTGCGATCTGTCGACGAGCGGTACCCGAAGTCTGCAGACCAACCCACTTTTACCAAGTTTTTATCAACGTCTCTACTGAGTTGGATGCTTCTTCCTGGTTTTCCTCTCTGAAAGTTATTAAAGGACAGAATCCAAAAGAATGCCTTGAATTTCAGTCTTAGAATCTTGGCCACGTGGCAGATCACCAGGATGGTTTTCTGTTACTAGGTCAAAAATTGTGTTCCTTAGAGACAAATTAGATCTATAATGTTAATTCATCTGTCAGCCAAAAACATCACTTTTTTTAGGAAGCCTGGTTTAAGTTTGTTTTACCATGTTTGAGTCTAAGTAGGTTATAATTTACATTGGGGCCTGGAATTTTTTTAAGCTTGCATGGGATAAAATGGGGTTTTGCTATGTTGTATAGCTTTGCTCTAAATTAGGAACAAATGTTGGACAACTGAATTTGTTTTCTGTGTTAAATTCTAATCTCTGAAAGCAAACTTAGAGGTCAAGGGCCCTTCCTGAATAGTTGGTGCAGAAGTAAGCCTTGGACAGTCCCAGGAGACACTACCTGGTTTCACGCTAATTTACGTGGTCCGTCAGGAAATCCAGGTGCAGGACTTGAAGGGATTCACTCAGCACATTTTTCAAAAGATAAAAATGTTATACCAAAAGCTAAAGAAAGCAAGACCTTGTGTTACGAGAACTTCAAAGAGTCTAAAGGGGGAAACTGTCAGTAGGAAGTGGGATGAAAGACCAGGGAACACGAGTGAAGTGAGAACACTGCCTTGAAATTATGCGGGTTGCTGTCAGGGCCGTCAGGTTTATAATTTCCATTTTCAGAGTGATCTTGGGAACAGAGTAGGTTTCAAAAAGCTTGAAGATCAAGAAGGTGTTTAACAAAAACAAGCAGACAAGCGTCCCAGATACAAGTGAGATATTTTCATCTGGCAAGTATCTTCTAACTTCCCTGGTTTCTCAAAGTTGGGGCTGAAGTCCCTTAATGTGAACGTCTGTCTTTCACGTACAGGTTTTCTCATTAAATTCAGATTGGTTATTTGAATTTTTAAAAGAGCTGTAACTAGTTGTAAGAGCTTAAGAAACTTAATAAGGATATGCTACTCATTTTTCTAATTTCTACGCTGTAGTTTGAGCTAATATATTTTATATTCTTTTGTAGTAAAATGTAACTCAGATCTCTGCCCGCCTTAAAACCACAAACAGTGGTTTGTGTTTGAATTGTCTCTTCTGTGACAGGTCACGTTTCAATAAAGTTGGATCAACTTCCCACTGTTCCTGTCTTTTACTTAGAGTGGGCTCTTGGAGCTCCCTTAGTCTGGAACGTCTGTGATGAGTTTTGGGGGGAATTTATGAATAACGTGCAGAATTTGCATGTCCATTTTAATTTGACAGTTGGAGCTAGCGATGGCTTCCTGAACGGAGACCTGGTGGCATGGTGGTTAAGAGCTCGGCTACTAACCAAAAGTTCAGCGGTTCGAAGCCACCAGCTGCTCCTTGGAAACCCTATGGGGCAGTTCTGCTCTGTCCTATAGGGTCATGTGGAGACAGCGGCTGTTCTTGCGAAAATGATAAAGTTGTGACAAGCAACTTAATGTTCTTTATTGATGTTTTCTAGAAAGCATCAGTTTCAGATGATTGGGGGGTGGGGTTGAATTAAGAGGAACTGCACCTTATTAGCTGAAGTGTCTTCTGTTCAAAGATATTTACTATTTTAAGAGTTTAGCAAACATTCAGAACTTGAGACTTAGAGCTGCTTTCCAGCTCAGCTGAAATTTCTTGGGTTTGAGGATGTTAAACATGACAGTCTTTTCATTGCATCCCCTTTCCCTATTTCTGTTAGGAGCAGGAAGAAAAGAGACACCTGGTTCACCTCCATTTCTGATCTATTTCTTACCTTAATCAGAGAAAGCGGACATGCAGACGTATTCTAATACTGGGGTACAGAACATGTGGGTGAATGTCAGGTCTGGCCAGACTGGGATCTGCAGACTTGTCAGGTCCCTGTACCTCATTACCTGGCGTGTCTTCTGTTCACAGATGTTTACTATTTTAAGAGTATGACAAAAATTCAAAACTTTTCCAGCTCAGCTACCCAACATGGTGGCCACTAGCCATTCCTCAGTCACACTAGCCACATGTCAGGTACTCAGTGGCCACATGTGGCTAATGGCTGTTGCAGTGGGCACACACACAGAACATGTTGGTGCTGCTCGAGGAGTAGGCTGCTTGGGGCTTATACTGGCCACGCTTCTGAATGCTGTTCATAAACAAGCCTTGTGACAGCAATGTCACTGGGGAAAATTAATACCAAACAGTACATGTTGTTCAACACGAGAACACAAGTTTATAAAGGCATTTAGTTTATTTTCCAAAAAATATTTTGCTAGAAGGGTTGAGTACTGTAATTTACATGATAACAATCTTCAAATAAATTCCTTTTTCTGACCAACAGGTACCATTTAAGTGAACAGCTTGTCTAGGTCTGTTTGTGTAGCCCCCAGATACGAATCAGCACTTCTCCGATGGTATTCCCCAGGTCCTCTTCGTTACCCACAGGCCAGGAGGCAGAGCCAAGCACAGAACAAAGTATGTGCTTACTAACCACTCATTGAAGTCCGCCTCTTAACATGATTAAGCAGAGCAGCTAATCAGTGTATCTAATTCACACTATTAACGCATTGTTTCTCGCCTGAAGGGTCTGACCCGCCCAGAAGAGGCTGTGGTTACCTCTTCTAATCCAGCGAAGCAGTGAACCACAACTGTAGAAAGGGCAGCTCAGTTCAGGCTAAGCTGGCTGTGTCCCAGTTAGGCCTATTACTGTTTTATCCCAACTATGAATTCACGGTGACCGGTGTTACTCGTATTCAACGGTAAGAAGAGAGTACAACGCAAAGCCAAAAAAGTCATTTGGGGATTATTGGCAGCAACTGCTGCTTCTCCCTTCTAGAGGTTAACTGAAGGTTGATTCTCTGACTCTTCAGAGAACTTACCTACAAGTTGGACTGAACCTACACTCATGGCTAAAGATTTAATAAAGGGGAAATCTGCTGATGGAGAGGACTGGGCGGCTTGTTGAAGGCACATCATAAGTAGCTTTTAATTTGTACAAGGCCTGCACTCAATCTCAAAAGCCTAAGATCTACCCACCCACCTTGTGGGTACCCAACAGAGCCAAGCTAGTGACAGTAAAGCAATGCCTGTCCCTTTTACCAACAGCCCAGAGTCTACTTCAAAAGGACTGTTGTAAGGAAGCAACTACTACAAACATCAGGACATTCTAATCTAGGACTGAGTCTACACCTAATCACCAGAAGGGGTGGTGAGTGACCACTGAGACCAAGTGTCACGAATGGCAGAGAAGCACTTTAGACCGACCTTTAAAATAGTCCACGTTTAGCCTAAACCACGTGGCAGTGCGCCTCCGCGCCCTGTGAAGCTTGAAGTGAGAGAGTAACTGGACTTGGAAACTCCCCTAAGGCTCTCAACACAGATCCTGTGGACCTCGATGCTGCCAGGAGGACCGTTTTCAGAGAGCAGGAGATGGCCAGTCAAGCTCTGGGCATCAGTTATGATTCTTGCCAGAACAGAATTCTGTCTCTGCTGCATGCCTGGTTCCATCAGTGAGGAGGAGATACAGACCTCCAAAATACAAGACATTTTGACTTGACAGCCTAGTCACTGGCTACTTTGGTATAGTACCCCCGCCCCCCCCCCCAAAAAAAAGTTAAAAACCAGAGACAAATGTCTTGCATACACAGTTGAAAAGCCTCATGTTTGCATAATTATGTCTGAAGACCTCAAGAACATCCACCCCACTTTAAACTGTCCTATTTCCTAACGCTGACACTCCCTACCTGTAGCAGCATAAAGTGCTTCTAATCTCAGAAAGTCTTTTTACTGACTTGAAGCACAATATGAAATACTGACCTGGTTTTCTACCAAGGAGTTTGTCTGAGTCTGAAGGACTCGGGAGAGGAAAGTGCTGGGGCTATTTCCCAATGTAAACACTGGTGTCGATGCCTGGAATGACCGGGACGGGAAGCCTGCATGTAAACATGTTCGGAATCAACCCTTGACCACCGGCAGGCAGCCTTCTCTCAGCTCCACTTCATGGCTAAGTTAAACTGCACATTTTAGCTTTCAATTTGCAACACCCCACACCTAACTGGGCATAAATTCAAGTATCTTCTACCATTTACGTGGTATTTTTCTGTACAAGCTTCTGAGTTTCTTATATATACAATTGTTTTCCCCCCAGTTCAGAAAAGACAGCTGGGTAGGTCTAACATGCATCTTTCCTTATTTCTTTTCCTTTCAAATATATTACAAAAGGCAGATTAAAGATGCAAGATCCATTACTTTAATTCTAATGCAGCTAAGTGTAGGGACAGGGCCACCTCTGCCTTTCCCCAGAAGATGAGGTTCATAGAAGGAAACAACTCCTGGGCAGGAGCGTCAGAGCGACAAGCAGAGCCTCCTGAGGGCCTGCAGGTGGCTGCAAGAGCCACGAGAAGATTCTAACGTTTGCTGCGCCCCCATGGAATTAAGTCTTTATTACCTTCCTTCTTCTCTTCCCACCAACCTGCAAAAGACCTGAAGTCAGTTTTCAATACGTGAAGTTTAAAAAGTTCATTTTTTAATGTTACCATTTCAAATGTCCTTGAAATAGAAATGCATATGATAAATCTTAATTTCTTCCAGAGAAGCAACACGAGGGAGGTGACAACTTGCAAATTACTCCTCTAAAGGCAGAACTCTCATTTGTTTGACTGCTAGTTTGATGGATGTGAAGTTTTTTTAATGAGCCAAAAGCAGAAAAATCCAGGGCATTCAATGTCCCAGTAAAAGCCTTTGTAAGATTGAGGCATTTGTTACAATTCTTAAAACCAAGATTACAGTGTCTCATTGGCTAAGATAACGGACCCCCAGGGTTGCTGTCTTTTTCTCACCAGAGAACTGGGTGTTGGAGAGCAACAGCACCCTCTCGTAGGGCAGCATGGGTACACCCGATTTCAAATGAAAGTCTGAAGGCCGCCCAGTCACAAGCTACAACTAACTGGTTCTCATCACTGTCTGGTCTGGCTTTACTCTGAAGCCATATACAGTCTGTTCATCCCAGAAGGTATGAGAGAACATTCATACCTTAACTCTTCCCAAGGCAGGCCCTGGGCCTGCAACCGCGCCCCGTTAACGGAATCACGCCAGGGAGCCTGCGGCCACACCCATCTCCCCCTTAGAAAGGGAATGCATCTTGCTCTCCAAGACTCAGGTGGAGAGAGGGAAGTCAGTGAAAAGTGCTGCTGGTAAAAACAAACTGGCTTTGTCAAAACCACTCCTAGCTACCCTTTTTCCCCCAAGGAACATCTATGATTCTTCAGAGTTATGATGTATCAAAAAACAGATCCTGCATTTTTAGGTTCTGGGATTAAATTTTAAACCTGTATTCAGTTCACTTCTAACTAAGTTTCAAAAGCTGCACCAAATATACTAGGCTTGTTTTTTTTTTTTGTTTTTTTTTTTTGTTTTTTTTTAATACTCTGCACTGCATGCTCTATCTGCATGCATTTGGATAATAAATATTAAATATGGGGGAACGCGCGGAATTCATAAAATTAAAAATGAGACCAAACTGAACATTAAAAATAGTACATGGTAGCTGGAGAAACGAATAAGGGCAAAAACAAATTTGAGGTAACAATAGTGGTCCAACGCCACCGATCTGAATATCTGTAAAAATTCAAATAAGTGTTTGGAGATTCAAGTAACAAACCACCTGCTCCAACTTGGTCAGACTTCCCAAGAGGCCCTACTGAGTCTCAGTCCATGAGCCGGCACTCACACAGCTCCTTGTAAATCCTCTTCCGCACCCGGGGCATGTCTTCTTGTGAAAACTGGAAAGGCTGCTCTAAGGCGAGGCACTTGCAGTACTGCAAAGGTCCAGAAACACGTAAGCGGCATGTGGAGAGGGGGACCCGGCCTAAGGCAGTATTTTACCATTTGTTCCAAGTTGTAAAAGACATTGTATTAAAACATTTTCCTCCAAATTACAGTCATGTTCCAGATACATGTATGGGATCTTCCCTCCCTCCCCACCCCACACTGAAAAGCCGTGGATTCCTCCCCAGGTGTGACCTGCTGAGAAGGCAGCTCGACCTCACCCAGCCTCTCCGTGGGAACGTGCGTTTGTTTAGCAGACCCCAGACGTTCACGTGGCACATAGGTGAGCCTATCTTCTAAGGTCTTTGCGAGTATCTAAATTCCTGGATTAGACAGTCTAACTTCCTTCATAAATGTAATATATAACACATTTTTCAGCAGCCCTTTTAGACCTCTAAGGAAACCTACAGCATGAGACAGCAATTCCTGAATGTGGCCCTCATTTAAAATCCAATTACTCTACGTCAAAGACCTGCAGGTTGCTTGCCAATGGTTAAGACAGACACAAAGAAGAGTTAATTCTGCAAATGCCAAAGGTCTACAATATGGGCAAATTCAGATCAGTCTCTAGTCTGGCTTACTAATAACTTCTGGTAAGACACAGATGATACTCAAGATCTAAAAATGCAGAAACTACCGCTTCTCGACAACAACAGAAGGAAGAACACATCCTCTGCTGCCTGTACAGTGTCATGTACACCTCACAGGGTCTTCCCTCCCTCCTCTCCAAACCCAGCAAGTTCAATTAACACACTGCAAATTCTGAAGAACCAGTATTTGCTTACCTGGAGCACAAAGACTCCACAGTCACTGTCATTTTTCTGTTGTGGAATACACTGAGAGAAAAACGAAATGATCATTACAAAGACTGAGTGCTCCTCTGCAGACTAGAAAGACTTATGGGAAAATGTGCAAGAGGCGGGAAAGCTGTCTCTGTGCAGGGCAGCTGGTGTATACCTCTGGTATCTGAGGTCTCTAGTTTTATGGAGGTGTCTGGCCACGTGGAAAGAGCTATCCAGCGGCAACCACATTTTAGAGAACAACAGTTGCCTAAATACAAGACGTGGGAAGTCAAATAAAATCCTATTTTTAAAACTTCCATTTGGATCATTAGTTTTGCTATCAATTCACTGACAATGGCATCGAACTGGAACTGTGGATCGGAGAACATATGCCTGGACTCTACCTGATGGTAACAATTCTGCTTAGCATTCTTCACTTTTCATCTCCTATGACATCATCCGTCCAATTCTTTGACAGAAATCATGAAGATAAGCAGTATGTTCTCAAAAGAAGTGGCTACCATATTCTGCCTGAAGTGAGAATATGAAAGATCCTGACTAAACTTTAGGGGAGTCCCTGAGAATACCTGGAGATTCTAGTTGGGTAAAATTCGGAAGATTTTCAAGTTCAGCTCTGGTTTGAGCTTGGTACACTGGGTTATTTAAAACAGAAAACTGAAGTTTAAGATTTAGCATCTGGTTCAGTTCAAGGATGAACAAATAAGTCTCATTCTCTGAGTCTGGGTTAAAGGCTCATTTCAAGCCCCTGGCTCTTCAACGTGTGTCAATGATCCAGACAGACCCGAGGTCAAAGACCTGAACTGAGGGGTGGGGGGTGGTCACCACCTAGGCTTCAGTTTTCTCATCTATAAAATAAAGCTGATGCTCACCCTTAAGTGGCCCACCTATCTCACAGACCGGCTGTGAGGATCAAATGAGATGAGGTGTGCAAAAGCACCTGGAAAACTAAAACACCGACAGGAAGATGTGAAGTGGCACCCATGGCAGGACTGGGTGCCTAGGCACTCTGGGCCACGTGCAGCTTTAACGTCTGTGGGTCCAAGAGTGTGCCTCCAGACTGTGTTCAGACGGAAACACTCAGGCCACTGTCTTCCCCACATGCCTGGAAAGCAGCCAAGCACCCTTGCTCCCTTCATGGAACCAAACAGCCATGTCAGCATTTCTCTGGGCCGATGTGGGTCATCTAGAAATAAGAGCCAGGAGGCAACAGGCAGTGCCACAAAAAAAAAAAAAAAGCAGCAGCAACCACATCACTGGCAGCTGCCCCAGGGATGAAATGACTGAAGTCATTTGTTCCCAGCAAGCACTGGGAAGTCAAGCAGCCAGATGCTGACTCCTGCCAAACTCAGGCTTCGGCAGGTTCTGAGCCGCCTCTCTGGGGCCTTCGGGCTCCCCGCTGGTACCTTCATCGCCAGTTTTCAGACGCTCGTAAAGACACCCAGCCCTCAGATCACTCCATCCTCTTGGTTTTCACTGTTAGCACATACTTACCTTCGTAACAGCAGTCTGCCAACCCTGAAGAAATTCAGGTCTATTTTTTTCTCTGGCTTCAGTCAGCAAATACTTTCTTATATTCTGGTTAAAAAGAAACCACAACACAGATGCTGTGTTCCATCACTTGGTGAAAAACGGAACCTGCCCACAGCAGACAGACACAAAGGAGGAGACTGTGGCCCCATAATTAGGCAGAGTATGCACTCAAGGGTTTAGAGCTGGAACTTTACTTCAGACCTCTCAGTTCCTATTGTTAAGGAGGACTCAGACCTTCTGTCCTCAGGTATGCACCTATACTGTGGATGCTGGTATTTGCTTAATTAGAGCTTTTTAAGAGATGGTCAGCCTTATCCAGCAATAAGTCAACTTGCTGCATCTGAAATGTAAATAAAACACTGGCAAGACAAAAAGAAGGTCTTAATCGCTGCCAATGCTCAACAGAGTGGAGGAACCCGTGCAGAAATCATC